CCTTTTCCTGTGAAGTTAAATTTGGGCAAGAACTGTACATTTCTGTGGAATAGTTTTCTTAAAACGCTGGCCAAATCTCTCTGAATCAAGAGAACTCAGAAAAACAAGATTAGAACATTGGCGTTCTTCAACTAGACTAGGATTTTCAGCACAGCCTCCTGTATAGTACCGCTATGCAGGTACAGACATTCTTTCCACATTGCTGCAGATCTAACGTGAAAAAGAGAAAGAGCTTTCAGTAGTGCTGAGAGAACTGCCCAATCTGTGAACAGGCTGATACAAACAAACAAATTACCCAGAAAAGTGACTGAAAGTGGTCTCCATGTTAAAGTCACTTTAAGGTGTTAAGGTCAGTGGTAGTGATGGAGCAGGGTCAGTACTCCAAGGGTCAATATGCAGTGAACGTGTTAATGCCTGGCATCTTGCTACGGCCAGCATCAGAATCTGGCATTGCTGAGTTACCTCTGCATCTAGCAGTGCACCCAACCTACTTGGTTTGCTGGTGTTTCAGAGCACTATTTAGCGCACAAAGCACCCTGAATCCTAGCTCTCCTGTTAATGCCAGTTAAAATATTTAGAAATGTTATCTTGCCTTCATTCATCTGACTGAGTTGCCTTCAACAAATCAATTTAACAGCTAATCAATAAAGACTGAACCTTGTCCAACATCCTTTCAGATTTCCAGGCTTTTAGTCACTTGATGGCACTATAGATGACAAATCTGACTCCAGACTGACTCCAGTCTGACTCCAAACCGGAAGATCTGGACCAGGTGTTACAAGCCGTGGCTGGTTGGCTTAGACTGAGCCGGCTGAAGCTGAATCCGACGAAGACAGAGGTCCTGTGTCTGAGTCAGGGCAGACCGACAGGAGGGATCCTGCTCCCAACCTTCGATGCGGCTCCTTTGGTGCCAGCACTGGAGGTTAGGAGTTTGAGAGTGCTCCTAGATGCCTCCTAAACAATGGAGGCCCAGGTAGCAGCCACTGCCAAATCAGCCTTTTATGACCTCCGGCTGATCAGGCAGTTGGTTCCTTTCCTCGAATGCAATGACTTGGCAGCAGTGATCCATGCGATGGTCACCTTGAGACTGGACTACTGTAATGCTCTCTACATGGGTCTGCCCTTGTCTCAAATCCAGAAGCTGCAGCTGGTGCAAAATGCCACGGGCCAGGCTTTTGATGGGACACCCTATCCAGGAACACATCCAGCCTGTGCTAAAGGCACTGCACTGGCTGCCAATAGCATACCGGATCTGTTTCAAGGTGCTGGTTCTTACCTTTAAAACCCTTTATGGCCAGGGACCTGCATACCTGAGGAACTGCCTTTCCCCACATGTTCCCCAGAGAGCACTGCAATCAGGGGGCCAGAACCGACTGGTCTTCCCAAGTCTCAAGGAGGCCAGGTTGGTAACCACCAGGGCCAGGGCTTTCTTGGTGGCAGCTCCACTCTTGTGGAATGAGCCCCAGAGGAGACCAGGGCCCTGCGGGACCTCCTGCAATTCCGCAGGGCCTGTAAAATGGAGTTCTTCCATCAGGCTTTTGGAGCCTCCACCACCATTAACCACCATCATTAACAATTAACAACTGATAGCTGAAGGTGAGAGAGCCCTTTGTTTCCCCGGAGCTCTTAATAACAGCTTGAGTCTGCCGCTGGAAGGACAATTAAAAGAAGATCGAGGAACCAACTATGAGAAGAGTGGATTGAGTCATCATAGCCATCGGGTATTAATGCTACTTGCACTTTATTGAGTTGTATAGCTTAATGGTTTTAGAATTGTTTTAATCTAAATTGACTCATGTTTTATTGTAAATTATGTACTGATTTTATGTAAGCCACCCTAAGCCAGCCTTGGCTGGGAGGGTGGGTAAAAAAAAAAATCCAGTAAATAAAATAAAATAAATATTTAGTCTTTTATGTTATGTCACCCAAACCTGTTTCAAGAGTTGGCCACTAGGCAGTATCTTTGTGGTTCTTTGAAACACAAACTTGAATGGTTTTTGATAGCTCTGGTGGTGACTCCCTTCACCCCAAGTAACCTTTGCCACATTCATAGCTGGTGTAAAAAAATGTTTAATTTTCACTCTGATTATGTTCAAATAATTAGCTGGGAATTTCCTGTTCGGGTGTTGTGAGATCCCTTGACACTCCATCAAGCTAACGCTGCAGTGGAGCACTACAGTCTTGCAATTGTTGGTGCATGTCATAGGGTTGCCAGGTCTGGGTTGGGAAATACCTGGATACTTTGGGGGTGGATCCAGGTGAGGGTGGGGTTTCGGGAGGGGAGGGGCCTCAGCATGGTACAGTGCCACAGACTCCACCCTTCAAAGCAGCCATTTTCTCCAGGGGAGCTGATCTCTGTCAGCTGGAGATCAGCTGTAAAAGCGGGAGATCTCCAGGCCCCACCTGGAGGCTGGCAACCCTAGCATGTCACAAGACTTGTAAGAAACAGAGAAGAGTAGCCAGTGTGACACAGTGGGCACAGCATCATTCTTGCCTGGAAGAAAAACAGTTGAAGTCCCCAAATGTTGCTGGGTGGCACTAAGTGTGTTATACTCTCTCAGCCTGATCTAACTCTCAGACTGTTGCAAGAATAAAATGGGGAATGGAGAGTTGTGTATGACACCCTGAGTTCTTCGGAGAAAGGGCAGGATAAAATATACTAGACAGAATTTCTGTTTTAGCTGCAGTTTCTCTCAAGATGCTCCAATAAAATATCATTAATGTCATGGCATGCTTCCTGCATAGTATCAAAATGTGTTTTAATCAATGACAAAAATCCAGCCATCCCCATATGCCTAGACATTTTTTTTAGAATTAACAATTAGGAACTGGGCTACTATTGTGAGACAGTAACCTTTCAATGACATTTTCCCGGCATTATTATCCTGTGAAATTTTAACAGGTACGCATTCAGCGTGCTACATCTGCTGCGCTATAAAAACAACCATGAACAAGGGGGACACTTTGCTAGTCTACTAAAATGTAAGTTTGTTTTTTGGGATGTCAAACCTGCTCGTGGAGCTGCCTCACAGTTTAGCTGTCTGCAGCGTCGGCACAAATGAAGCTTTTGTAATGATTTTTTGGAAAGAATTTCACTTCTCCACTGGTGCACGACGAAAAAAAATAAAGCTTTAAATTCTTCTGGAGAATAACACCACAGATATGTATTTACTTGGAAGGATGAACTTGCAGTCAAAATAAACCCTCCCTGCCAGTTTTTACAAGTGTGGTTAGTGGAAGCCTTCTTTTTCAGCTGGTTGTTATCCCCCCCCCCCTTTAAACCAGAGGAAATCTTTGCCTGGACTGAGCCTTTGCTGTATTCAACAATATCTGGTATACAAGTGTTAGGGTTTCAAATCTGAAAGACCCTCTCCAATTCCGTGTTCCCTGGCTCTGTAGAATGGGCTCTGAGAAGACCACACTAAGGTCATTTTGCTCAAGGTAGGGAGGCATCTGGCTTAAAGCAAAGGAAGCTGGAGAAGGGAGAAGAGCCGAGTGAGAAGAGGGAGCTCCAAGGCCCGTTCCAGTCCTCAGTGTGATCTTTAACACTGGAGGCGCAGCTTCACAAGTGAAGCCAATCCTAGGTGGGGCTGGGAGATCTCCTGGCATTTCAACTGATCGCCAGATGACAGAGATCAGTTAGCCTGGAGGAAACAGCTGCTCTGTGGCCACGCTATGGCATTATGCCTTGCTGAGGTCCCTCTCCTCCCCAAAACCCTGCCCTCTCCAGGCTCCTCCCCCCAAATCTCCAGGAATTTCCCAGTCCAGAAGTGGCAACCCTACGTGAAGGGATCTGATAGAGGTGGGATATTGGGCTCAGAGCTCCTGTTATTCACTTCCCAGACCCAACATTCCCAATTTATCTCTTCATCCTCTACAACAAAAGACACTCAATTTCCTGTCTGTGCAGGGAGCCTAGATGCCTTTTAAAATTTATTGTTAACAAGAAAGAAGAGGGAGAAAGCCCTCCAAGATACAAAAAGAACAGTCAACACAAAGCTCCAAAGCATAAGAAAGTAGAAACCCCATACTTTTTCAACTTGAGGCATGTTATAGGTATAGGAAATGGCCTTGAAGGGGAATATCTAATTTCTTCCTGATTCTCCTCAACACTTAAACAAAGGTAGACCCAGTTAGTCAGCTGTGCTGGTCTGAAGCAGTAGAACAAAATGAGAGTCCAGTGGCACCTTTAAGGCCAACAAAGGTTTATTCACGGTATGAGCTTTCGTGTGCATGCACACTTTATCAAATACAATGGCATGGGAGATGAGGTTCAGACTTATAGATGGGCTGAACAGAAAATTAACATGTACCATGATGAAAATGTTTTCATCTTCAGCATGTTACATGTTAGTTTGCTGTTCAGCCCATCTATAAGTCTGAACCTCATCTCCCATGCCATTGTATTTGATAAAGTGTGCATGCACACGAAAGCTCATACCATGAATAGACCTTTGTTGGTCTTAAAGGTGCCACTGGACTCTAAATTTGTTCTACTTAAACAAAGGATCAAATGTGGTGCAACTGGGCTTAAAAGATGTATGTATGTGTGTGTCCATGAAATCAGCCACTCTCCTCATGATGCCAAGCTGAGTTGGTTTGAACCATTACGCACTGTGCCGTAAAGAAATCACATGTCTCTGTTTTCATTCGGGGATGTTTCAACAGCTGAAATACAAAAGGTGTGCCAGTAGGAAAAGCCTACTAACTACATAATATATTGTTCAGAGTTTGCACTTGCAAATGGTACAGAACACGTGATTACTGATCCCTACACTGGTAATCTCCACAGTGGTACAGCTTTGCCCAGAGTGCTCTGGGAATCTTTAGTTTGCCAGAATGCTGGTTGTTCCAATTTCAAGAACCCTACCTACATAATCGAGAGACTTCTGTTTCGACAGTGAATAATCTGAGACCCAGTCTTGCATTGTTTGGTATGAAACTCCCCCATCAAGATTCACTAGAGTTCTCTGTCTCCAGGAAAGTCAGTGAATACTTACATATCCCTGTCCCTTGGCAGCATTTGCCAGCGTTCCATTGGTTGAAGCTGCTTCCTTGTTTGCAGGGACATTTTTATCATGTTGCTTCCCTTCATCTTTGGTGGCACCTCCTTGACCTGGCAGAGCAACCTCTCCAACTCCAAGGGCCTCACTTTTATATTGCTTCACAAAGTCTTCCATCAGCTTCACTTCATTCTCAGAAAGACCACGGCAGTGGGAAGGGTCTTGGTCATAAATAGGAAGCTGTCTCATCATCCTCCTGCGCCGATAATAAGCTCCTTCTGTACCAGCCACTGGCTGCATTTCTTTTGAAATCAATTCCATGTACTGGGTAGCCTAATATAAAGGAAACAGAAGACAATAGAAAAAGTCACTGTAATATAGTACATACACAACAAGCAAACAGAACTCTCTTTCAATACAACCCTCATCTTATTCTGAAGGCAATGTATCCCCTGGGGCTCAGCCCATCACAGAGTGAGAAAGTGATTTTTAGTGTAATGCAACAGTGGCTTCAGAATTTTTCCTGCCCTCCAGCCCCAGAAAACTGCATGGACATTCTTTGGCTCATATTCAAAGGGCTGTGGCTCAGTAGTAGAGCATCTGCTTGGCTTGCAGAAGGTCCCAGTTTGGTGTAGTGGTTAAGAGTGCGGACTCTAATCTGGGAGAACCGGGTTTGATTCCCCCACTCCTTCACATGCTGCTGCTGGTGTGACCTTGGATCAGTCACAAGTTCTCTCAGAGCTGTTCTCTCTAGAGCAGTCCTCAAAAGAGCTCTCTCAGCCCCACCTACCTCACAGGGTGTCTGTTGTGGGGAAGTGAAGGGAAAGGAGGTTGTAATCTGCTCTGAGACTCCGAGTGAAGGGCGGGGTATAAATCCAATCTCTTCTTCTTCTTTCCTGGTTCAATCCTCAGTATCTCCAGTTAAAAGGACCTGGCAGTAAGTGATGTGAAGGACCTAAGACCCTGGAGAGCTGCTGCCATTCTGAGTAGACAATACTGATTCTGATGGACCAATCTTCTGATTCAGTATAAGACAGTTTCCTGTGTGTTCAGCTTCATGATCCCCCCCTTCACACATGGCCCAGAGCTTGAAGACTTCCTGGTTTAGCAAGTCTTCCATCTAACCACAATTTGTTATGCCACCCAAATTTTGGTCCTAAAACAAAGTGGGATCTCATGGACCCTTGGAGAGGCAGTGGCTTGAATGGTAAGGTTTCTTGCCCCAGGTTCAACTCCTGGAATCTCCAGTTAAAGGATCAGGTTGTAGGTGATATGAAAGACTTCTGCCTGACACCCTGGAGGACTACTATCAGTCAGAGTAGACAATACCAACCATGATAGAATAGTGATCTTGTGTGCATGAGGCAGCTTCATGTGGTTAGATGGAAAACTTCTAGTTTAGTAAGTCTTCTCACTTTTCCTTGTGAGCAATGGAGGGAATCACAAGGCCAACAATGAACTATGCTTGTTCTCATCACAAGCTTTGGATTGTTCCCAAAGTCTTAGGAATTGAACAAGAAGTCTTTTAATCCTGTATCCAGACACAAAGCATGCAACAGACATATTGTATCATAAAATTAGAGCTCTCTTTTTAAAAAGTATGAGACTAGCACAGGTTTCCCTTTTTGCTATTCCTGACCTGTTGACAATACACCCCTCTGTGCCAGATACAAACACACTGCTCTGGCTTCATCACTCCCCAGATCAGCCAACTTCGTTAATATCAAGCTTGGAAAAGATCAAGAAAATTCACAGCACACATCAGACACCACAAGAACTAAAGGCTCAGGCAAAAACTTCCATCTCTCTTATGGTTTTTGGCAGCCCTGGCTTCTAGCAAGCACTACGTATCTGCCTGGAGACGTGCTTCCTATTTATGAAAGATTACATGCTGGTGGTTGCCAGTGTTTTGCTGGCTACAAGCCATTCAAGGCAAGCTTGTTATAATGCTACAAGACCAGCTGCTGTACCATAAACCTTGTAGCACTTCAGTGAGATGTTAATGATACTTGTTTAATGCCTAGAGAGGAAATTAGAAGAAAATTACCCTGGGTTGCATGCTGTTTTCTACTTGTCTTTTATAAAGACATTTAAGCCAATACATAAACCAGCCATTTCCTGAGGCTACACCTTTGAATGTAATGGCCACCCACATTACTGGGAACCCCATTTTATTACTCCAAATGTATAGCGATATTTTAATAGTGTTAAAGACAAAGAAGAATGGAATCCATGTACTTCTTTTAGACCATTGTTTTTAATATTTGACAAGCCAGTTAGCTGGCAATTAACTGGCCATTGGCATTTGATGCGTAGTCAAAAGCCTGTCTTAGGACAAGCCAGTCTCATCCCAAATGGGGCTTTAAAAGAGGATGTGGACAGCAGAGTTAATTTTTTTCTGGACCAGAATCAAAAGTAGAGGGAGTTTCCCTGCTGGAGATCTTTTCCCCATTAGAGTGTGAATTGTTAATAGGCAGCCAGTTGGCCATTCACCCTTCTCTTTTAGAAAACCTGCTTCCAACTGCATTCAATTTCATTTCCAACTTGGTCAGCACTTGCCCAATAAGCAGTATGGCTGTTAGGTTTTCAATATATACTCCTGATAAGGTGGAGAAATCAGTGACAAGGAATACATTACACAGCCCACTAGACTTTAAAGGAAAGTCTGTTCCCCAAAGAGTTTCACAACATGTAAGGAACAGTTGTGCAAGCTAAAAATCAGTCATGGATCAAATCAACACGAGGCTCCTGTGACCGATCAGACGCAACGTTCATTCAAGATAGCCATTTAGTATTACACAGATGGCAAAAAAAAAAAAGATCTGTGCAAATTTTGTATTGGGCTTGTTAGAGACAGCACGAGAGACTGGAGACATAAATCCCCAACTGGAAGGTCTGACATGACATGCAGCACAGAGACTTGATTGAATGAAGCAGAAATCCATGTCTTCCAGCAGTGCCCACTCAGGTTCTCAGTACAGAATCTTCCTAGACCTGATGGTCAGTGTGGAGGAGTTTCATTGGGCTCTCCAGGTGACTGGTAAGATCAAACTCCACCATACCTCTCTGGGTGAAGAGCAAGTTACAACTCCACCCTAATGTACCTGTTATAATGAATGTGGGACCGACTGGGAATTCTGTTGGTATATTTCACACCCTATTGCATTGCACTCTCTCTCCTGAAAACAGTCCTATACTTGGTGTCCTAGGCTTTTATTTATTTATTTTTACATGTTATGGTTAAATTTCCAGTAATGAAGAGGAGGATGCTTTTTTGCATATTTCCCCCTCCTGATGCAGAGCCAGTTTGGTGTAGTGGTTAAGTGTGAGGACTCTAATCAGGGAGAATCGGGTTTGATTCCCCATGCCTCCACTTGCAGCTGCTGGATGACCTTGGGCAAGCCATAGTTCTGTCAGAGCTGTTCTTGAAAGAGCAGTTCTCTCAGAGCTCTCTCAGCCCCGCCTACCTCACAGGGTGTCTGTTGCCGGGAGAGGAAGGGAAAGCCGCTTTTAAGCCGCTCTGAGACTCCGAGAGAAGGGCAGGTATAAATCCAATCTCCTCTCCTCCTCCTCTCAGATCTCCAACTCCCCCTTCATGCTGTTCCTCAGGTTCCCTGACCCCACAGGAACAGCTTTTTGGGGTCATTTTAGGTTGCAGCAGGGAGGCAAGCAAGTTCAGCTCTATAGATCCTTTCTGTCAGGATCCAACATAATGATACCACAGGATCCAACATAATGATAACAAAATCAACAAGATTAGAGCAAGCACCACAGAGAATACTTATGTATCAGGAAACAACCCCCCCCCCAAAAAAAAAAAACTGAAAGGAAATAACAATCTTGTGGACATAGCTAACCAAAACAACCCTCCCTGCAAACACATAGTATAAGTTCCTCAATTATAAGTAAAAGAAAAACCATATTCTTATTTACATTTATACAACCACAATTTCTAACATAATCTAAAGCCTTTGGATTTGGGATTCTGTAACTATTACCATTTTGTTCAGTACTGCATAAGAAACAAAACCATGTTGCAGCAAAACTATTTGGGTCTGCTTGTTCTCTGGCTAGTTCAAACTAAGCCAGCTTCTTCTTGGCTAAGGATTTTCAGATGAACCAAGTTCTCTTTATCAAGTATCTCGGATTCTTCTATTGAATAGTTTTCCTTCTGCCTAGAGGAGATCGACAATAGACCTCTGTGTGGTGAGCTTCAACATTCTTGGTAATGTTTCCTGTGTTACTTATCACAGTCAGCTCAGCTTCTGTATGGCGAGGTGGCTTTTATCCACAAATTAACTGTTTCTAGTCTTGGTTCATTACATTTGGTTGGGTGAAAGGAACAGTAAATGCTTCATTCAAGAAGGGGTTCTACCATTTCCCTTTCAGATAGTCAGGTCACAAAATGTCTTCTGAGAAAGCTGTATCTGGACCTGAGCAGCGTTAAAAGGAATGGGCAGGTGCTACCTTCAGCCTTCCCCATATTTTTTAGAAATACTCCCTCCTTGTAGCATGGACATTTGAACAAATGGTGACTATGCAGCTTCAAGCTTAGGTGTAGTGATAGTATGCTGATACCAACCAACTCTTATTTCTCATTCTCAGCAAAGTCAAGGGAGACAGACATCTCCTTATGCTGAAGAAAGGCTTTACAATTAGCTGAGTGGAATGGCAAAATCTCCCATTAATTTTTCACACAGAAAGAGGTTTCTCCCACCCCTCTTCAAACATTTTACTGTGTTTTAATTTCCACAGTACTAACAATTGGTTCTCCCTGTTAATTTATGGGTCAGTTTCCTAGAATTTCAGCTATTTATATCATAGCACAGCTCAGGGGTACTCCCATTCTTGTCCTTTCCACTTTGGCTTAACAATGTACACTGCTTCTGAAGCCAAAGTTTACCCTTTTATTGAGAAGAATAATTCCCAGTGCTGTGAATGCCCTCCCCCACACACACATGGCCTACCATCTAATCCAGAAGTGTGCCAGGCTGCTAGTAAGACCAATGTAAATCTCTCCTGACATTTGAAATTTACGAAGTAGGTCTCAATGGCTTTCTGCAACAGAAGCAGCAGCTATTCTGTAAACAAACATCCATTCATTTCAATGGTATCCTCCATTGGAAGACACTTAAGAGTTTCCTTATAGTATGCCAAAAGTTATGAATGAACTCATGGCAGGAACTGCAAGGATGAGGTAAGTAGAAGCCAAATTAAAACAGCGATAAAAACCTAATTCCTTGTATCATGGCCAGCATCTTTCACTAGGAATGCCCAGAAATGCTGCTTTTGTGCACTACCTGCCTGCAGGTCTTCCCCATTAGCCTACATTC